AGGCATGTAATTCCGTTGTGCAATAGTACAAGGGCAAATAAAGCTAGTGAAACGTCAAGAGAAATGCCTCTAGAACATGGCCCTATAGCCCGAAAAAACCCCACAAGAACCTATTCTATCTGCTTTGAACTGGATTATCTGAGTCTATACTGCCATATAATCCAGTTCAAAGCAGATAATCTGGATTTTATATGGCAGTGTACAAAGGGCCTTAGATAACCAGGATTCTAGCAACTATCTGTTGCATTGTTTTGCTTTTCTTTATGTAGATCTCACCTTGTCCATAGAGCTGGGTGTCGGGTTATGGCTGATCAACAAACCTTTGGGCACCCTTGTTTATAGCTTGAGCTGTTGAAGGTTTTCATTGTTGTGTATATTGCACAGACTGAGTTTGTTGTTGTTGTTCATTTGTTCAGACTGATTTCAAACTGATTTATATTATTTTCAACTGTAGTGAAAAGTTTTTAAAAATTCAGAAATGTTTGCATAAAAAAAAAATCAACCCAGTATTGTTTTATTGCTGGTAATGCACTCTGACTCCTTTTGCTATGTGTGACCCCCTGAATACCCCCCAACCAGGGGCTTTTCATGGTGGAGCGGCATCTGAACCCTGCTCTCAGGAGCCAGAGTCCAAAGCTTAAACCGTTACGCCACGCTGGTTCTTCTGTGAGATACACGAACAAGTAATTAAACAAATTAATGTTTGATAGGAGAGAAGAGCGGAGGGACCCCACCCACTGCACCAGGTCCTTTGAAAGGCCTGGAAAGATATCCCTGAGCCAAAGAGTCTTAGCAAATACCCCTGAGGCTCTTGGGCAGGTAAGGGGCTTCTTTGCTTCGTGTCACTGTGTCCGTGTCCATGTGTGTGTGTGTTGCACACTTGACTTCCCCTCCACAATCTGATTTCTCTAGAGATGCCTTTCCTGCTTCTTCTCAGCCTTGGGGCGAACATGGCACTGGTTTTGGCATTGGGGGTCCAGTCTCTGGTGCTCCATAAGAGACAGTGCTGTCCCTTGAGTCCTTCACACCCCAGAAGCATCCTATTTTTCAAACCGTTTGTTGTGGCTCAGCAACTGGCAGAGAATGAGGGATTTGATGGGTTTCAAAGTGAAGAGTCTGCTAGTGATCAGAGAGAATTGCAGGCTGAGAAGGAATCATAGAATCAAAGAGTTGGAAGAGACCTCATTGGCCATCCAGTCCAACCCCCTGCCAAGAAGCAGGAATATTGCATTCAAATCAAGGATATTGTTTGGGATTCCTGTGCTATCTCCCAGGCAACAGAGAGTGTCAGTTCTCTTGTGAAACAGCCTTCGGCCAATTGGAAGTTTTCCTGAGAAGCCAGATTAGATCCGAGAACAGAGGGAGTGAAAAATAGATTAATTAGACATTCTGAGAGAATCTGTGAGAAGTTTATTTATTTATTTATACACTTGTATACCGCTAATATCTCAGCCTAAGTCGGCGACTCATTGCGGTTTACAGCAATTAAAAACAATATACAATTTAAAACAACAACACATAGACAATACAGATTATTGGGCCACCAATAATAATACCATGCATCTCGTCAATAAAATCACCAATCCAGAGTTCGTCATCCATAATTAACTTGAAGCTCAGATGCATTCAGCATGATCTCATGGGCTATTTGGCCAAGCTTAAATTTGGCCAAGCTTAAATTAAATTATTTACTTTATGCCTCTCAGAGGAGACAATGTTGTCATAAAGATGGTATTCCTGTCTCAGCTTTCAAGTTCCTGTCTCTGGCTTTGTTCCTTGAAGGGTTTGTCTTGGGAAAAGCTCCTGTTTTCATGTGTATGGATTGTATGTCTGAATGGTTGCTGTGGATTTTGGCTCTCTTGACTTCATGTACTTTGTCATTTTTGTATTGTTGCTATGTATTTGCATTTTCTACTTTACCACACTTTTGGAAAAATGCCTTTTTCTCTTTGTACATGCTTTTTGTAGTTAGCACTATTGGACTCTGGTGTGGTGCTCGGTGAAAAGGTGTATCAAAGCTAGAGTGCAATACCGCAAAAGAGACAAGTGAGGAAGGAAGAAACAAGCTATATAACCTCTAATTTTAATGACATTCCTCTAATTCATAAATCTGAGAGTTGAAATTTGCCCTCATCGTTGCTGGGGACAAGTGATAAATAAGCCCTAATCTCTCTTGAACTTGGCCAGAGATTTCTCCTTATTTATTTATTTATTTATTTACCTTACTTACATAGCGCTGTTCTCAGCCCGAAGGCGACTCACAGCGGTTCACAACAAATACGAACAGCAAAAATTCAGTGCTACAGTGTAGAAACAGTTAACAACCTAACACATTACACAATTAATAAACAGTTACTACAATACCCATTCACTGTCGTCTCGTCATCAAAAACATGTTCCAGATTCGTCATCCATTGTTCCATTCCAGTGTTCATTAAACAATCATTGCACTAATTATTCGAACGCCTGCTCAAACAGCCAGGTCTTCACTTTTTTGCGGAATACCATTAGAGATGGTGCTAGTCTAATGTCCGTAGGAAGGGCGTTCCACAGCCGAGGAGCCACCACCGAGAAGGCCCTATCTCTCGTCCCCGCCAGACGTGCTTGAGAAGCAGGCGGGATCAAGAGCAGGGCCTCCCCGGAAGATCTCAAAGTCCTGGTGGGTTCATAGGCCGAGATGCGGTCGGATAGGTAGCTTGACCAGCATCATTTTCCATTTGTCTATCTCTGCTGATTCACTGATCTTGAAGCCTTGGGTTAGCTAATTATTTTTATCTCTGGGCATAGGCAATTCCTGCTGCATTGTCCTGTAAAGTGGAACCTCTACTTAAGAGCATCCCAATTTAAGAGCGGTTTGGGTTAAGAGCCATTGCTTGGCCCAGGCTTTGCTTTTGAGTACAGAACCAGAGCGAAAGTCCAGGGCTTTAGGGCTTCAAGGGAGCAGCCTCCGGGCCTCGTGCTCTTGCCCGCTTTGGGAGATCGCTGTCTGCTTTGCTCTTGTCTGCTTTGAGAAACTTTGCGTTAGTCGATCTTCTGTGTTTGTTATTCCTGCTCTCTTTTCATTAAGCGAGGGAGGGAAGGAGACGAAGAGAGGAAGGGAGACTGGAATGAATAGGAAATGATGCTTCTGCCTCTTCACCACTTTGTGCTTCCTTGCCACAACTTTGTGCTTCTACTATGTTAAATTTGATCTTTCTTTTTGTTATTGTTCCATGCAAATGTGCATTTATACATTATCATTTGTTATTTAGAAAGAACTTTTTTAAATTTAAAAAATGGGGGGAGGGGTCCCTGGGGGGTGGTGGAATGGATTAATAGCATTTCAGTGGGAAAATTCGCTTTTGAGATCAGAGCATGTTGAGTTAAGAGCTTGGTCACGGAACAAGTTAAAAACTCAAAAGTCAAGGTATCACCGTATTGTAGTAACTTTCCATGTGAAGCCAACTCAGACTTTGGGGGGGGGGGGTCAACTCCAAGGAGAGATGACCCTTAGTTCCCACCAAAGAGGGAACACTACCTTGGCAAGCCTTCAGAGAAGCCTGGTTCCAGCAATTTTATTTAATATTAATAATTGAAATGAGACTCTTGCCAAAGCGAAGAAGGGGCATCGAGGTTTAATGAGCGATTCAGCTGAGATCGGATGCACTGTGGGAATAATTCCGCCACAGGCATGCCAACATAAAGTTTTACAAGCATTTTTATAGGCAAAGTTCAGAATGGGAGGTGATGGGATTAAGAAAGATTTTCCTGTCCCAGATCTGATAAGGAGTGTCCTTGATGGGTCTTGGAAAAAGGAACAAACAGAGCCAGGACGAGGGGACCCTGGGGGTCGTCCTTGTCCCTTTGTAAGTGTCCAAAGAAACTTCCTTGCCCGCCAGACAAACTCAGAGAGCAGGCAGAGGAAATCCCAACTTGTTATTGTCCATGCAAACGTTGAATGGTTAGACCAGTTTCGAGGGAGGCGGTGGTCCCCCCCTCAGGCAGTGAGCAATCTCTGGTCCCCTTTTTCTAGGGCAAAGGGCAAAGGAAAAGGCAAAGGGGCAAGCAATATTTTATACATACACAATCAATATATCATACAGGAAAAGATCCCGTCCCCATCCCTCATCCCAAATATTTAATAAAGGAAAATTATCATTTTATTTGAAAGCTTGGAGTCAGAAGTTTTAAAAGGTCTTTGAGGAAAGTTCATGAGGGAGATAGTATGTACTGAAGTCCAAGACATGCAGGCAGAGAGTCCATGATCATTGGGAAGGCTGGCAGATGAAACCCCAGCTGTGCTGCAACTGATTCACACTTTGGTCCTTGGGAAACTACAACTCTCACAAAGGACAGAAGTCCCAAGATCCAGCCGTTCCCCAAAAGCCTCGTGGGGTCATTGTTGTTGTCAATGCCTTGGCAATGTGACCAAGACTTAACCCCTATTGCGCAGTCTGGTACCGTTGTCCTTTGCAGAACTATAAGTCACCTTCCCTTGTTGGGGGGGGGGGGGCATGCTCGACGTTACATGTTTCATTTCTAGTTGAGGGTCCAGCCTTCTCAAAAGATAGAACTCTGCTTTTGTCATCCTTTGAAGCTTAAGGATGTCTTTCGGCACCTGATGTCTCTGAGTCCAGTAATTCTGGGCCTTACATCCCAACTGTTTCTTCCCATTTGCATCCCCTTGCCCACCTGAGAGGGGTCTCCACTCCTTCCCTTTGGCCTTTCAGGAGGATGGTCAGTCGGTCAGCCAGTCGGTCAGTCAGTTGGTCAGTTGCTCCCACCCGAGGAGAAGGGTGGGGTGCAATTCAAGTGAAACCAACACCTTCGGTCCTTCTGTGTGTGTGTGTCTCCCTTCCTTTCCCTCCCTGCCAGCTCTGCCTTTGCACTGCCCTCCTGTTTGTTTTCCACCTGGGCGGCTGGGACTGGGCTTGTGGCCTGGGGCAGCCTCCCAGCTTGTGTTTCTGCTGCACGGAAGTTAATGTGTAATCCATCCGAGGAGCAAAAGGAAGCTGGGGAGGAGAGCATAAAGCGCCAGTGTGAGTCAGGAGGTGCTCAGTGTGCTGGCTGCCCAGCTCACCTGCCTGCCAGAGCTCCCTGGTGCATCCCCAGGCAGCATGACTGGGAGCCCAGCTATTTAGAGGCAGTGGCACATGACCGACTGACCGCCTCTGCCTCAGCTCCCTCTGGGCCTTCCTTCCTTCTTTCCTTCCTCCCTCCCTCCCTCCCACCTTTGAGAGAACTACTGTACCTGGGGAGGACCTGGCAGCACCTGCACAACCCAACAGGTGAGTCTCTTGCAGCGATGGGGAGGGTCAAGGCTGCACGGGACAGAAGGTAGTCCTGTTCAGTGAGGGAGGCCTCAGGTGTGCCAGGAGCACCGTCACCTTTTGGCTGCTTCTTCGGGAGAACACAAACCAAGAGCAAACTCTGCTCACGGCAGGGGAGGCACCAGGCTCCGATTGCAGCCTGCGGTGACAGCTTTTTGGCTGACTTGGCTGCCAGGTTGTACCTGGGCCAAACTAGGCATTCTGGTTATATCCCAGGCATGGGCCAACTTCAGCCCTCCCTCCAGGTGTTTTGGATTTCAACTCCCACAATTCCTAACAGCCAGCAGGGCTGGAGTTGGCTCTTGCCCGTTCTATAGCATACATTGATGGATTAGTAGAGAGATAGGTCGATAGATAGGTAAATTGATAGATGGATGGATGGGTAGAAAGGCTGATAGATAGATGAATAGGTAGGTGGATGAATTAGTAGATGGATGGATGGGTGGATGGATGGATGGATGGATGGATGGATGGATGGGAAGGCTGATAGGTAGGTAGGTAGGTAGGTAGGTAGGTAGGTAGGTAGGTA